ACCCTATATGGAGAGTCAATTGTTCCACCATCATTTACTGAATAGTCTACCTTTCCACCACTGATTAATAATACCACTTCTGTCAGAAATCAAAATCCATGTATTCATGGGTCTGTTTTTAGATTCTTATTTCTTTTTATTGGTCTTTTGCTTATCTAATTGATTGTAACAAGGGCATGTTTTAATTATTATAAATTTCTTTTTAATGTTTATTTATTTTTGAGAGAGAGACAGAGTGTGAGCAAGGGAGGGGCAGAGAGAGAGGGAGACACAGAATCCAAAGCAAACTCCAGGCTCTGAGCTGTCAGCACAGAGCCCAGTGTGGGGCTTGATTCACAAACCTCTAGATAATAACCTGAGCTGAAGTCAGATGCTGAACCAACTGAGTCACCCAGGTGCCCTGTAATTATCATAGATTTCTTATAAGACATAATAAATGGTAAGGCTAGTCCTCCTTATTCTTCAAAATTGTCCTAGGTCTTCTTGGCTTTTTCCATTTGAGTTTTAGAATGGGCTTTTCAGGTTCCATTGGAAGTACAATAAGAATTTCAGTAACTTCAGATTGATTTGCAAATGACATATCAGATAAAGGGTTAGTATCCAAAATTTATAAAGAACTTATCAAACTCAACATCCAAAAAACAAATAATTCAGTGAAGAAATGGGCAAAAGACATGAATAGACACCTCTCTAAAGAAGACATCCAGATGGCCAAGAAACACATGAAAAAAATGCTCAACATCACTCATCATCAGGGAAATACAAATCAAAACCACAGTGAGATACCATCTCACACCTGTCAGGATGGCCAACATTAACAACTCAGGCAACAACACACGTTGGCAAGGATGCAGAGAAAGAGGAACCCTCTTGCACTGCTGGTGGATTTGCAAACTGGCGCAGCCACTATGGAAAACAGTATGGTGGTTCCTCAAAAAATTAAAAAATAGATTTACCCTACAAGCCAGCAATAGAACTACTAGCAATTTATCCAAAGGGTATAGGAGTGTGATTCATAGGGGCACACGCACCCCAAAGTTTATAGCAGCACAATGAACCATAGCCAAATTATGGAAAGAGCCCAATTGTCCACCAACTGATGAATGGATATAGGAGGTGTGGTGTATATATACACAATGGAATATCACTCTGTAATCACAAAGATGGAAACCTTGCCATTTGCAACAACTAGAGTGTATTATGCTAAGGAAAATCAGCCAGTCAGAGAAAGACAAATATCCTATGACTTCACTCATATGAGGAACTTAAGATACAAAACAGAGGAACATAAGGGAAGGAAAGGGATGCAAAAGTAATATAATAACAGGGAGGGGGACAAAACAGAGGAGACTCTTAAATACAGAGAACAAACTGAGGGTTGCTGGAGGGAATGTGGGAGGGGGAATGGGCTACATGGGCGAGGGCCTTAAGGAAGACACTTGTTGGAAGACACTTGTTGGGATGAGCACTGGGTGGTATATATAGGGGATGAATCACTATATTCTACTCCTGAAATCATTATTGCAATATATGCTAACTAACTTGGGTGTAAATTAAAAATATAAATTAATTAAAAAATTAAAATTAAAAAAATCATCACCTCTATGATAAGAAGATTTTGGTATTGGTTAAGTATCTTTCTTATTTAAGTTCTTTTAAATTTGAGCCAAGCTCCTTACTGAACAAGCATTTTGAAAAGTCCTAAGTCCCAATAACTTTACCTAGACCCATCACCATTAGCAGTTGCTATTCTTGGTTGATGGGCTGCTTTCCTGTGAAGAAGAATATACTTCATGCATTATTCTTCTCTTAAGAAATTAACATCTTCCTTCATGAGGAGGCCAAGGCTTGCCAACCACTCTTCTGTTTCCCTAATCAAGCTACTCATTTTCCACAAATATGTTGCCACTGAACACCAGCAACACTGCCCAGAATAGCAAGTACTCCACACTTCAGTCACCTTAAAATTAGCTCAATATATTTTTTAAAGATTTTTAAAGTTTTTAAGTAATCCCTATGCCCCTGTGCCCTGCTCATACTCACGGATTTGAGGTAAAGAGTTGCATGCTCAATTGAATGAGCTAGCCAGGCACACCACAAGCTCAATTTTTTTTTAAGTTTATTTATTTATTTTGAGAGAGAGAGAGCACAAGCAGGGAAGTGGCACAGAGAGAAGGAGAGAGAGAGAATCCCAAGCAGGCTCCACTCTCTGCCACCACTCACTACTGTGAGATCATGACCTCAGACGAAATCAATGGTTGGGTGCTTAACCAACTGAACCACCAGGCACCACAATCTCGACATTTTGTAAACTGTGGGTCAAGTATAAAGTAAATATTCCAATTTACTAGCCTTCCTTTAACTGAGTTATGATTTGAGGTGGTTAAATGTACTTACTTAATTTTTATGGCCTCAGTAGATAAAAACTATTGGAAAAATCCTAACTCAGGTTTGCTATTATTAAGTGATTTTGAAAATTTAAGAAAATGTAATGATGAAAATTTAAGATGAAAATAATTTAAAAAGAAGTTGAAGAAAAAATAATTGAAGTAATGCAGATTGGATGTCATCTTGAGGCCAATGCCCACAAAGGTATCCCAGCAATACTGAAAAGAATATGATGATAAGCATAAATTAAATACATGAAATAGTTTTTGTTTTTTAGTTTTTTAATTTAGTTTATATAAATTTTTAATCTTTATTTATTTTTGAGAGACAGAGAGAGACAGTCAGAGACAGAGGGAGTGGGAGAGGAGCAGAGACAGAGGGAGACACAGAATCTAAAGCAAGCTCCATGGAGGGTCTGAGCTGTCAGCACAGAGTCTGACGTGGGGCTGAAACTTGCAAACTGTGAGACATGACCTGAGCCAAAGTCAGACGCTTAACTGACTGAGCCACCCAGGTGCTCTGAAATATTTTTTGTTTTAATGTTAATAGCCATACTGTGCTAAGTTCTCCTCACCTAACTTTCATACTGCAGTATAAGTTTATATTAAAAAATCAAATTGTAAAACGAGTACATTATAACTGTGTTATCACTTTTGACTTGATTTATCTTAATCACATAAAACACAGGCATTATGAGGAGAAATTTGCATTTGTGTACATAGATGTATATACCTACATGTAGCATAAGATGTAATATAAAAATAATATGTACATACAATTTGTTTAAGAATAATATATATTACACTCTTTTATTGCAATCAGCAGGATAGTTCAAATATTTGCTTATTTGTTATAAGAAGTAAACAAACAAAAAACTAACACATGAACATGAGTTTGCTGTCTTAATATTTTTTTTGGAAATATAGGTTAAATATTTCTAATCTCTTGATACAGTGCTTTCAAATATGATTTCCTAAATCTGGTAAGAACGCTTATTTAGGGGCACCTGGCTGGGTCAATCAGAAGAGCGTTCAACTCTCAATCTCAGAGTCGTGAGTTCAAACCTCATGTTGGGTTTAGAGAGGACTTTAAAAAAGAAGAGGCAGGTTCTCTTACATCGACTGCCTAAGAGCCACATTGTAAGAAGCAACAACCTCTCCTCTTCCTCTCTGCCATCTCTGCTTTGCTCAGTGGCAGCAAAGCAGCAACCATGCATGAATGCATCTCCATCCACTTTGGCCAGGATGGCGTCCAGATTGGCAATGCCTGCTGGGAGCTCTATTGCTTGGAGCATGGCATCCAGCCCAATGGTCAGACGCCAAGTGACAGACCACTTAGGAGAGGAGATGGGAGAGGAGATGACTCCTTCAACACCTTCTTCAGTAAGATGGGTGCTAGCAAGCTTGTGTCCATGGCAGTGTTGTAGACCTGGAACCCACAGCCATTGATGGAATTTGCACTGGCACCTACTGTCAGCTCTTCCACCCTGAACAGGAGATCATGGGCAAGGAAGATGCTGCCAATAACTATGCCTGAGAGCACTGCACCATTGGCAAGGAGATCATTGACCTTCTCTTGAACCGAGTTCAGAAACTGGTCAACCAGTGCACAGGTCCTGTAGCTTCTGGGTTTTCCACAGCTTTGGAGGGGGAACTGGTTCTAGGCTCACCTCCCTGCTGATGGAACATCCCTCTGTCAATTTTGGCAAAAACTCCAAGCTGGAGTTCTCCATTTACCCAGCCCCCCACATTGTCACTGCTGTAGTTGAGCCCTACAACTCCATCTTCACTACCCACACCACCTTGGAGCACACCCTCTTGGAGCACTTTGATTCATGGTAGACAGTGGGGCCATCTATAACATCTGTGGAATAAACCTTGATATCAAATGCCCAAAATACACTAACCTGAATAGGTTGATAGGTCAAATTGTCCTCCATCACTGCTTTCCTCAGATTTGATGGAGCCATGAATGTTGATCTGACAGAATTCCAGACCAACTTGGTGCCCAATCCCTGCATCCACTCCCCTGTGGCCACATATGCCCTTGTCATCTCAGCTGAGAAAGCCTACCATGAACAGCTTTCTGTGCAGAGATAACCATCACCAAGCCATGCTTTGAGCCAGCCAACCAAATGGTGAAATGTGACCCTTGTAATGGTAAATATGTGGCTTGCTGCCTGTGGTATTCTGGTGACATGGTTCCTAAAGATGTCAATGTTGCTATTGCCACCATCAAGACCAAGCGTACCATCCGGTTTGTAGACTGGTGACTCATTGACTTCAAAGTTGACATTAATTACCAGCCTCCCACTGTGCTACCTGATAGAGACCTGTCCAAAGTACAGCGAGCCATGTGCATGCTGAACAATTCCACAGCCCTTGCTGGTGGGGGCCTAGGCTCCCCTGGACCACAAGTTTGACCTCGTATATGCCAAACATACCTTTGTTCACTGCTTTGTGAGTGAGGGCATGGAGGAAGGAGGGTTTTCTGAGGCCAGTGAGGACATAGCTGCCCTTGAGAAGGATTATGAGGAGGTTGGTGTGGATTCTGTTGAAGGAGAGGGTATAGAAGAAGGATAGGAATACTAAAATTATCAATGTCACAAAGGGCTACTTTTATAGGGGAGCTTATTTTGTTTTGAATATTGAAAAGTGCTCTGGTCAGTTAATTTTTATGTGGCAGTGTATATTCTCATATACAATTACTGACCTATGTTTTTTTGTTTTTTTGTTTGTTTGTTTGTTTGTTTTTATTTATTTTTTTACAAATAGTTTATTGTCAAATTAGTTTCCACATAACACCCAGTGCTCATCCCCACAAGTGTCCTCCTCCATGCCCATCCTTCCTCCCCCCCACATCCATCAGTCCTCAGTTTTTGTCAGCATTCAAGAGTCTCTCATGGTTTGCCTCTCTCCCTTTCCCCCACCATTTCCCCCCTTCTTCTCCCGGTTGGTACTGACCTATGTTTTGAAATACAGTGCTTCGTTATAGATCCAAGCTGTCCATTTCTCTGATGAGTTTGAATGAAGAATTCCCTGCCTTAAATGAAAAAAATAAAGAAGGTTATTTATTCTGAATTCATAAAATTATCTGCCCCAAATACTGGTGTTAAGTGCATGAAGCAAAAATGACTTTGACTGGGTAAACATTTTGTCTTATTGCATATGTAGCTCATTACTTTTAAAAATTGTAACTATTTCCCTGTACTATTACTAAATTAAAATTTTAGAGTGATAAATATAAGGGGAATTAGGTAGAAAAATTCTCTTTGTAGGGATTGGAGCAGCTATTAGTTGTTATACAATATTATAGTATTTTCTTAGTTATCTTACATTAACTTATAAAATTTTTGTCTTCTAGCCTTCTACTTAAAATTCAGTTAGCATCACAAAACATGAAAACAATGTAAAGGATACAAAAATGAAGACTTGTATTTAATTAAGGGGTTCTTCCCATTATATTTTCCCTTTGAGAAACATTGTATTACATTCTTTTAAAGAAAGAAAGCAAGAAATGGAGGGGGAAGAAAACAATAGAAAAGAAACCGGTATAGCACAAAGTAATAATATTAGAAAAATAAGTAAGACCTGAATCTAACTTTGTTGGAACCCATTGTCTGCTGGGAGACTTAGATAGCTAAAGCTTCACAATGAAAAGGGATGAATGTGTTTTCTACTGCCATGGTAACCGCAGATTTGGAGCCCAACCTCTAGAGAAAGTTCAGGAGGACACCCTTAACTTCTGATGCCAAAATTTTGGAATGTTCCTTTCTAAGTGGGCATGAGGAGAGCACTTTAATAAGCCTCAGCTATGCTCTCAATTTGTATACTTTTGAACATTTAGGTTCCGCTCACTATTTTGTAATTATACGTATAAAACCTTTTCATGCCCACTAAAACAGGTACTAGATCTGAATGTAGTCAACTGTTAAGTGTGTTTTAAGGCAATCAACAAAGACAAGATTTTTTTTTGTTGTGTTGTTTTGTTTTGTTTTGTTTTTTTAAAGATTCTTTATCTGTTCTTTTGGTATAATTGTCTCAAGCTGATATCACAAAATAATTTCTGTAGTTACAACTTACCAAATCTCAAACAGGACATTGATGCAATTAGGTTGCAATATCTTTTTCTTCTAAATATATGATATGTACCCAGATTTTAGAGTTACAAAGTCTTACATTTTAAGCCTTGCTCTGTTACTAATAAGATATTTAAACTGGAAGGTTGCTTCATTTTAATTTTTTAAGTGTATTTATTTATTTTGAGAAAGAGAGACAGAGAGACAGAGAGAGAGCCCAGGGGAGGGGCAGAGAGACAGGAGAGGGAGAGAATACCAAGCAGACCCTGCACTGTCAGTGCAGACCCCAACGTGGGGCTCAAATTCACAAACCTTGAAATCATGACCTGAGATGAAATCAAGAGTCAGATGCTTAACCAAATGAGCCACCCAGGTGACCCTGAACTGGAAGGTTATTAACCTCTATGAGTCTTAGTTTTCTCATCTCTAAAATAGGAATAATAGTAACTGTTTGTGCTTATTTCAGTATTTCAGACATAGAAGGCACTGAATAAATCATTACAACTTTGTTGCCCTGTTGCCCTTTCCTTAAAGCTCATCCATAATTGAGTAGTCCAAGCAATGGTGTCTGTGGCTTGGGGACCTAGAAAGTGATCTGCAAAATTTGTTTTTACTCTTCTTACAAACTAGGAAGTAAGTAAGTATGTGACTGTTTTGTGGATCCTAGCCCAAAATACAAGACTAATGTGTCAGAAAGAAAGGACTTTATTATTTATAGCACAGTAAACTGCATGAGCTCAGGGTGTATGCTATGCATGCAGTGAGTTTCCACTGAGGCTGAGGAGTACTGAGCAACAGGAATTCATCACTTTTATAGTAAGCAGTAAGCAAACCTACTCTTTGTCTGGGAGAGACATTACCTCATCCCTCAGGGTTACTCACTGCAAACACAACACTGAGAAATGTCCCAGGGAATAAACAATAAGAGCCTTGCATTTCTGGCATACCAGCAAGAATGTACAGGAATGCTCAAGGCTTGTGGTGTTCACTCCTACTTACCTGATAGGCGAGTCTTATTTTTTAAAATATTTTTTAAATATTTATTTATTTTTGAGAGAGAGAGAGAGAAAGCACAAGTGGGGCGGGACAGAGAGAGAGGGAGACACAGAATAGGAAGCAGGCTCCAGGTTGTGAGCTGTCAGGACAGAGCCCAACACCGGGCTCGAACCCACAAACTGCGAGATCCTGACCCGAGCTGGACTCTCAACTGACTGAGCCACCTAGGCACCTCAAGATTGTTATCAAATATAGATGGAGAGGAGCTTTGAGCTAATTTTTAAAAATTAGCAAATGTGACAACTCGTAGAATTTAGCATGATACCTGACACAGTGATTAAATGAATAAATTAATGAATAAGTGAGAAAAGTGCCCACAAAAATGTGCTGGCTATGCTCAATAGCTTTTGACACAACTAAGAACATCAGGGTATAAATTAAACAATCCATACAGTGAGAGCAGACACTGCCCTCCTCACTTAAAGTCCACTCTTACAATTTCCAAAATTCTCTGAAATATTGAATGCAGATAATTGCACCATAAAATATGAAATCTTTAACCATGTTTGAAAGGTAGAGAAAGTTGAGCCATTACCAGAAAGGAAATCTTACAGGTAAGGGAGTAAACACCTGCAGGGAGTTGAGTTCTTACCAGTCAGGTCATCCTGAGTCTGTTGCAGATGAGCACTAAGGCCACCTTCTCATGGTCTCTCTCTCTCTCTCTCTCTCTTCCTCTCCTCCCTTAAGATCCCTGTACAGTCCTTCATCCCTTTCCACCTCCTTCCTCCTCAGCTCCACCATCCTACTTCCTTTTCCTCATTCTGACTCAAAGTCCTGAATCTGACAAAGTGCCTGAGCTATGAGAAAAGAAGTGAGGGTGGGAAGTTTGTGGGCACTATAGACTATCAAATCCTACGCATAATGGAGAAGAGGGAAAACTGAACACCTCGAGGTGAAAATCATAAAAACAGCAAATCTTTCCCTTAATACAGAATCTAGGGTGTAATTTTGCCAAAAAGTAGTATTTTTTTCTCCTACCTTGTTCTTTTTGTAGTATCCCTGCTTTGGGTGAGCCTCGTTTCCAGTAGAGTTGTGGGTAACTATCTTGTCCTAGAAAAAGAATGGGGGGATATAGAGTCTTTTGCCAAGAATTCATGGCTACTTTTGCATGTGATTGATTTATTAGCAGCATCACATAGTATTTCTTTATCTCGTAACTCATATTTGTCCACCCCAATGATGGACCCTACCCTGATTTCTGAGTGTTATGGAGCACATACCATTAACACAGTTGCTAAATTGCTCTCTTTATTATCTCTCTGGGTCATCTTCTCCTTACTTTTGTTACCATACCCAATTTTTACCACCTGATGGTACTTATTATTTCCTTCATATACAAAAGATTGTTTTTAATGTTTTATTTATTTCTGAGAGAGAGAGAGTGCGAGCAGAGGAGGGTCAGAGAGAGAGGGAGACACAGAATCTGAAGCAGGCTCCAGGCTCTGAGCAAGCTGTCAGCACAAGCTCGTTGCGGGGCTCTAACCCACGAACTGCGAGATCATGACCTGAGCTGAAGTCGGACGCTTAACCGACTGAGCCACCCAGGCGTCCCACAAAAGAAATTTATATACACATCCTTGATATTCTCTGCTAGACTGTAAGCTAAGAACAAGTTGTATTTTTAGTTTTTTATAAGCTCACCACTTAACATGTGATACATATTAAGAAATATAAAGAAATATTGGTTGGAAAAGAGTGCAAATAAACACTCTCTTCCTTCCTACAACTCTGTGATGACTCTGCTTTGGTTTCTCTTTCATTTGGCATCTTTAACTCTTTAGGATTTTTACTGTATGGCTCTTGCTATAATGCTTCCATCATCTTAACTTTCTAAGGCTATGAGATCTTTCATCTATACACTACCTTTATAAGAGCTGTGATATGGTGACATACTTTAATATGTTTGTAACATATTTTTTTAATGTTTTATTTTTGAGATAGAGACAGTGTGAGCAGAGGAGGGTCAGATAGAGGGGGAGACACAGAATCTGAAACAGGCTCCAGGCTCTGAGCTATTCCTCAGCACAGAGCCCGATGTGGGGCTCGAACCCACGAACCGTGAGATCATGACCTGAGCTGAAGTCGGACGCTTAACCGACTGAGCCACCCAGGTGCCCTGGTTTGTAACATATTTTTAGTCACATCTTTTATGAACCTAAAATGAATTCTGTGTACACACATGGCAGAAGAGGCCACTTTCAACCAGAATGAGCGCTAGTTTGTTATTTGCAATCTTCCCAAGTATGGTCATAATTTAATGCTTAAAATTGAGAGGAAGCTGTCTTTCAGTTATGAGACCTTTTTTTAAATGTGACTGAGTAGGAAGTTTGGGAGGAAGCAATGAGTTTAAATTTAAAGAAAAAATTATTATGCACATATTAAGTAAGTGACTGTTTAAAACAGAAAATACTCTGCCGCCCTGCCTCCAGTTCTTGTAATAATTACCTTTGTAGCTCCATAGCTCTAATAGATTTGTCACCTTTATTTAACATGTACTACATCTTGACCCCTAATACAAATTACTTTTCACACTAATTTTCCCATCCACACCTTCTACCAAATTAAACTCTTGCTTTATTTCCGTTATTCATCTACCATTACTAGGTAAACATGGGTAAGTTACTTCACCCTCTGTGCCTCTGCTTTACTGTCTCCCTAATAAAGAAAATCTGAGCACTTCCTAGGATTGTTGTGGAAATTAAATGAGTTAATATATATGTAAGAACTGTGCTTAGCACATAGTAAATATTATATAAGTAATGACTTGTTACTGTTTTCCTTCAAGTGGTTACATTTATAAATTAACATTATATTCTGAAATATTGCTTTCTCATTCCATCATTTTAGAAAATATATACTGGCTCCTTACTCAGTGAGGAGTATTTTCCTATTCTTGCATTTTCCTCCATCTAACATATGATTTTGCCCTTCCAAATGTATAGGAATTAACATAATTACTTTACTTATTTTAGGTAAGTATGGAAGATAGGCAGCCTCTTAGGGACAAGACAAGCTCAGGGTCCCCATACTACTCCACCATATTAACTCCATCCTAGAGCAGCCTTTTGATCTTGAGAACCTAACAGGAGAGGTGCTAGACCCCTAATGGGCTTAGAAAATAACAGATATTAACAAGAGCTGGCAGAATCTGAACACTTACTATATTTTAGCCTGTTAGGGCTGCCAAAGCAAAATACCACAGATGGGGTGACTTAAACAACAGCAATTTATTTCTCACAGTTCTGGAAGATGGAAGTCCAGGATTAAGGTGTCAGCTGGGTTGGTTTCTCCTAAGGCCTCACTTCTTGGCTTACAGATGTTTGCCTTCTGTCTCTCTCTTCACCTGGCCTTTTCTTTGTGCTCTTGCATTACTGGGGGCTCTTCCTCTTCTTATAAAGACTCAGTCATACTGGATTAGGGTCTCATCCTTACTACCTCATTTAATCTTAATTATCTCTTTCAAGACTTTATTCAAATACAGTCACGTTGAAAAGTTGGGGCTTCAACATCCGAATTTTGTTAAGAGAAAATATTTGCTAACTTTAAGAGTGTTATATCCATTTTGAGCTAACAAATGTTAATAAAAATGTGAATAATATGGGGTGCCTGGGTGGCTCAGTTGGTTAAGTGTACAGCTCTTCGTTTCAGCTTAGGTCAAGATCTCATGGTTCATGAGTTCGAGTCCCCCATCAGGCTCCACACTAGCAGTGCGGAGCCTGCTTGGGATTCTCACTCTCTTTTCTTTCTCTGTCCCTCACCCACTTGTGCTTTCTCTCTCATTCAAAATGAGTAAACTTAAAAAATGTGAATAATAATAAATGATCGGGATTAGATTTTATCATCATTATAGTTGTAATCTCTATAGAACTTTGATAGAACCATTTGTCATACTAGAATACATAGCATCAAACAAAACAATAGTTTTAGCTATTTAATTTCATTTATATTAAAAAGTCTTTGAAGAACAAATCACTTTGGGGAATTTCTTTATTTCTGTGAGGCAGAATTAAACAGAATATTAATTTTGTCACCTCGGATTTTGGAGTTGCTTGTTTACAAGCTAATTCAAGCAAGATGGAATATCTGGTAACACATATATAAAAGGCTGATGGAACCAAACAATGCTTTTTTATATATTCTGCAGATTATAATACAAGCATAGCAGGATTTACTAACACCCACTGATTGCCTGCAAAAGAAGTTCATTTGCTACTGAAGAAATAAAATAAAATTATGTGCCTGGAGAAGGCAAGCCTTTCTCACACGATACCTAGTGTAAAGATCCTCCTTTCATTGAACTCCCAAGAAGATTCTGGAATTGGTATGCTTGTAATGAATGCTGAGAAGGAGACAGAAATTCAATGATGGTTCTGTTTTCCTTAAAGCCAAATCCATTTCCATTGCCACAGTTTTAAATCCAAAGCATACAGACCAAATTTTCGTGGAAAGGAAGCAGTTCATGAAAATGTATTTTAAAAATGTGTATATGTAAAAGAAAAAAATCTTAAAATTCACTTTTTATCCTAAAACTTTTCAAATACACACAATAAAAAACAGTAGAAGAAACCCTTTCGGACTTGTCACTTAGCATCTACAATTAACTAGCATGTTACTACTCTTCTTTTATTTAATCTCTACTCACTCACTAACTTTTAAATCTATTTATATACTTTTTTAATGTTTTTTTTTTTTATTTCTAGGAGAGAGAGAGAGAGACAGCGTGAGCAGGGGAGGGTCAGGGAGAGAGGGAGTCACAGACTCTGAAACAGGCTCCAGGCTCTGAGCTGGCAGTCAGCACAGAGCCCGACGCGGGGCTCGAACCCACGAACCGCGAGATCATGACCTAAGCGAAAGTCGGACGCTTAACCGACTAAGCCACCCAGGCGCCCCTAAATCTATTTAATTTTATTTAAAAATAAAATTCCAGGGGTTCTTGGCTAGCCAGGAGGTAGAGCATGTGACTCTTGATCTCAAAGTCGTGAGTTCAAGCTTGAGTGATCTCAAACTCAGTGAGTTCACACTGAGTGTGGAGCCCACTTAGTAAAAAATAAAAAATAAAAACAAACAAAGAAACAAATAAATAAATTTATTTCCAGATACTCTATGATTTCACCCATATGAATTTCCACACGTATCTCTAAAAGATAAGGATTCTTTAAAAATATCATTATCAGGGGTGCCTAAGTGGCTCAGTCAGTTGAGTGTCCCATAAAAAAGGTCCCTCAGACCTCATTCCAAGGCAGTGTTGCCTCATGGACTTTGCCTCATGGACCTATGTTCTGCTGTTGCTGTAACTTGCTGAACTTCCTGTTGAAGTTGCTTCTCCACTGATGGAGTGAGTGACATACACTTAGTACATCTTGGGAGACTGCAAGGTACAGAAATGACTGCCATCCCCTTCTTTATCTTCTGCCTGGTGTGTAAAGAGCTGTAACCCTTCCTGTGACTTTAGGCTATGTACTTACCCTTTTGCTTTCCCACTGTGATTGGACTTAGTGCAGACAGCATAAAACTTATTATCTTCATTGTACCTGATGAATCTGGTTCTCTATGTACTCAGCACAAAATAACAACTCTAGCAACTGGGAGATCAGTTTCTAATTGTTGAAAGTTATAGTTAGCTGCTTCTTAGCAGATATCTTTCACTGTCCTTGACTTAACTGAAATCTGACTATTCCCTGAGGACCTTATTTGTTCTGCAACCCTCTCAAGGTTATACCACTTCCAAGAGTCTTGATTTCTGAAGTTCTCAATCTAGTCACCAGCCTGGCTTTCCAAAACTTTGCTTTACTCTCCATAGTACCATAATTTTTCTACCTCATTCAGATGCCAAACTATTGAGCTCCACTAATTTCTCATTATCTATCATCTTCTTCTTGTCTTTACTTCTATGCCTCCTGTTTATAGTCCAAAATCTGTCATTGCTATTACTCCCTAAAAATTATCTACAACTCATTGCTTCTCTCTTCTTCCACTGCACTTGTCTGGCAAAATCTCAACTCTAACTGAATCCAATTATCTATATATATTTTCAATGTCTATTGCTAAGCAG